GGTTTCGCAAGTCGAACAATTTTTGCGACCGCTAGCTATGGGTACTCGATTGCTATTGGTGACTTCAATAGTGACAGCAACGAAGATATTGTCGTCACCAACTCGAATAGTGATCAAGTTGGTGTACTTCTTGGATACGGAAACGGAATCTTTCAAACACAGAAAACGTTTGCAACTGGTGCGAATACATTTGCGGTCGCTGTCGGTGACTTCAATGGCGACAATCGCCCGGATTTGGCCGTTGCCAACCGTAACGATGGCACAGTTAGCATTCTTTTAAATATATATTAATTTTACGTAGCTATGACTATTGCTTTTATTGTTCAAACTATAATGGTTTCAGTGGCGATAACGGTACTCATCTATTTGTCACTACCGAACCAAAAGTATTGCTTGCATTTTTTTAAATATGTATCATTATTGTAAAGGTTCACTCTTAGCTTTCATTGTTTCATTTATTTATGTTGCAAATCATACTTTCACTTCTTCTATGTTAACAACAAATTACGATGGAATTTCACTAAGCAACCAACTGCTGCTTTTAAACAACCGGTTAAGTTCACTCCATTGACTTATTCTGGGTGTAGGTCGTGGGATGTGGGATGTGGGATGTGGGGGCGGAGTGTGGGGGATGGGTTCAAAATAGAGTATTATACACACCCACGCCATGGTAAGCTATTCCGTCTTTCCTCACAGTTGAAATATTCGCTTAATGAGAGTATACCATCCAAGATGAAGATTGTCTCAATTTTAATCGACTCAACGATTGATCGTTATCATTTGATTGTTTTTTTTATGATTGTACGAATTCGGGAGCAAACATTGATGATATATCGGATGGATTGATATGTTTTGTGTTCATTTGGATATTTGAATCTTTAGTATAGTTTTGTTCGAAATCGTTTGAGAGGTTTTGATTATCTCAAGAAACCTGAGAATGGTTCGCAGGAATGTTGATTTTATTTTGCAATAATTATCAAATTTTTTGCCGAGAACTATCGTAGCTTTCTCATCTGAAACTATTCCTGTTCGAACTATCACAAACAAATCACGAATTTAGTTGATTTCTGGTGAATACGTTACTTGTGCCGTCTTGATCTTCTTTTGTATCTCATCAAATTGTGACTTAGAATATTCTTCCGTTGTATTTTTTTTTCTTCTAGTTCAATGAGAATATTTAACTCTGTTCTTTGAGATGATAACTGAAGCAAATATTTTTTGATACTTTTATGAAATGAAAGTTCAAGTAGAATAAATTTAGCTTTCTTGGTAGAATAATCAGGATAAAATCATTTGATGTCATGAAGACTATATTCCAATCGATGATGACAATAAACATGTGGCTTTTTTATAGTCATTAGAAGATAGATGTAATACGATAAACACTTGAATCTCTAATTTGATTCTTGAGACAATGTGAGTTGCATAGATTTTAGGTATCTCTTTTGAAATACACGTTCTAACAATCTTTGGATGAAACTTAATCAATTCATGTTGATTTGAATAACAATAGTAGAGAAATTGGGTATTTTTATCATTTGGAAATGAAAAATTAACTAATGAAAGTATTCTTTTGCCGGGTACAATATTTAAGATAACATTCAGCCATAGTTCATCAAAAATATCAATGTCACAAAATAAGTTTTATCTATCAAATGTGCCAAGATTCATCATGCTACATCGGACTGGTTGATTTAGTGATATTTTAGTTGTAGAATTTGAACCCAATGGTAACTTATCAAATATTCGATCTATTCTTGCATCATAAAAAGAGCCATGAACATCTTTTTGATTGATAGTAAAATGTCGTGTGTCAACTTCATTCAACCTTGGTGAATTTTCTGCTACTTGTCGAAATCTTTATGATAAGAAAAGAGAATCATTCATTCTAAATACAATTTAACCAAATATTATATCAATTAAATCTAAAACAAGAATAAATCTTCGATCAATCGTAGAAGACATTCTCATATGTTATGATATACGTTTAGTCAGAATTCTACGAAGACGTCCTATTTTCTTTTCTTATACACATTCTTCTAAGTTTTCATTGATTGTCATCGTTTTACAAGTTTAAGATGTTTTTGTTTTTGCTAACATATTCATTGTTTCGTAAGATACTAAAAGCTGATTCTATTTCAATAGAGACTAATAGAAAAACAACTATTCATACTACCATTGAACATTAATAAAAAAGGTAGACATCAGAAGAAAATAACAAATTCACTTGTTACTCTTCTTATCAACTTCATTTCAATAACACTCATTCCTTTTTGCTATAGATTTGAAAAAAAACTTGATGTGATTATTTTTCAATTTTTGCCAATTGAAATGTTTTAGAGGAACTATACTATAATCTTTCAATTTTAATTATCATTTGTTTACAACCATAAGTTTAAGCAAACGATAGATTTGCATCTTCTTAGTTTTGCTGAAAAAAAAACTGAGAGTCTTATTTCTATTAAACCCCTCCCCGCATTAGAAGACCCCGGGTCTTCTATTATGTCTCGTCGTAAAAATTTCTCAGGGGGGTCTTCTATTATGTCCTAGGCTTTTTAGCAATTATTAACTAAATGTGGTTTTCCAGAAAGCCAGAGCGCTTTTCAGGATTCTCATAGGGATTTTCGCGGTTTTAAGGGTTGAGGGATACATTTGGACCTACTTTCTAAATATTCCCAGCTGAAAAACCTAAAAACTGTGCACTTCTGGGCGGAAATTCTCTAATTAAAGTCCCTAATTAGCAAAAAATTAATTAATTAAAGGGGGGTCTTCTAATACGCCTGATGAAATTTTTGTCCAGGGGGGTCTTCTATTATGGGGGGGGTCTACTAATACGGGGGGTCTTCTAATGCGGGGAGGGGTTTACTTATCTTTACAAATACGTGATCCATATATAGAGTTAAAGTTTTTTCGCGTTTGATCTTGACTGGAAAAAACATTTTTTTTTTGAGAAAAAACAAACAAAGAAGAACAATATCTGTGTGTTTTAGAAGATTCGTCATAACATTTCAATACTCACAACAGTCACATGCAGAATAAAAAAAAGTGGATTCACAACTGAAAACAAATCAAATGTGATATAAAATTTTATTTTTCAAAAGGTGGCGATTGGTCATGTGTGAAATCAAATATTTGGACTTGAAACCTTCGAAAAAACGTTGATAATATTTATCAATACCATAATAGAACGTATATAAAAATACGAAATGAATTTTCTTAAAGCTAAAATCGTATAAATAGTTGATCATCATAAGTACAGCCATATTTTCATTGTTTTATTCTTTTTCTTCGCATATCTTAACATCATCTGGAGATTTAACTTGATGTTTTTAGTTTTTTCTTAATTTTCTTTTGACAAATGATCTTTTATTTTCAATGAAAAATCTCACATTTTAAATATGTATTTCATTTAATCATCAACAAATAAAAACTTAAAAATCATAACATAGAATACATATTCAAAGGTGAATTTTTCATTCGAAATAAAACTTCGTTCATTCAAATTAAATTTTAAGATAATATCGAGATATACGAAGAAAATTGGGGTGGGTATAGGTGTGGGTGTGGGTTGCATATGTATCGTCTCCTCAATAATCTTCACACCTAAACACACATTCACACTCATATCCGGCATTTATACTTTACATTGTTAATGTTAATATATGTGAGGTTTCACTGATGGTTAAAAGTAGATTCTTGCCAGACAAACTTTTTTTCATGTACCGAGAAGTTTTTAAAATGCTTCGACCCCACATGCCCGGCTGCAAATGTCCAGGTCCCGAACGTCCTGTGCAGAAATTTTTCGGAATTCTGAACTGTTCCCAAAAAGATCCTAGTTAGTAGCTACCTGTAGACATGAACCTATAAATGCTGACTTTTACAGTCATAAATGGCGTGTTTGAAACCATAAATGTAGCGAAAAAAAACAAAAATGTAGAAGAAAAGCATAAATGTGGAGAATTTTCAAAAATATTTGACATGTCTAAGAGCATCTAGCTATGGGTTTGATAGAGAAAAATCAAGATTTTCTGTACATTTATGGTCTAAGTCTTAGCATTTATGACTACCCAACTTTACAGTTCTGGTTTCTACTGCCAAAGTTATAGTGATTTGATGTGTGTGAGTGTAGGTGTAAATGATATACAGATATCCACACTCACAAATATTTTATATATATATCGTAAGATAAATTTTATTTTGCAATAAATATAAATTAAAATTTAAGAAAAATCTATCCCACCATTAACTAAAATACTTTGTCCAGTAATGTAGTCAGAATCTTTGCTTGCAAGAAATGAAACCATGTTTGCGACATCATCTGGATGTCCTATGCGATCAAGTGGAATTCTTTTTATAGAATCGTTCACAATCTCTTCCGATGCCTTTCCTTCAAGTTTTGCCAAATTTTCGACAGCACAGTCAGACAGCGGTGTCTTAATAAAACCTGATAAAATTTCATATATTTAATATTCAAAATAATCTAACACATACCTGGACAATAAGCATTAACTGTAATATTGTATGGAATCCATTCAATAGCAGCAACTTGTGTTAAACCTCGTACACCCCATTTTGTGGCGGAATAAGAAGCTTGCATTGAAGCTGCTTTATATCCAAGAGTACTACAAGCATCAATGATTTTTCCTCCTCTACCTTGTTTAACCCTTTGCAGCCGGATGTTGCCTTTTGGCAACATTGAGCCA